GGAAGACCTTACATTCCGAATAGACAGATAAGACAACTTCTGAACTAGAAATTCTTTAAGACTTTTGTTCAGGCATTTATTTCTCCCCATCAAGGAGCAGTGAAATTGAGATCAGTTTTACTTAAGTATAACACAAAATGATACTCAGATCAGAAAGCTTGTTTAAATCACCACAGAATTTCATGTTAAAAAATGAATCAAAAAAGTTTAAATAAAATTCAAAAAAGACTGGATGAATTAAGGATGAAAGCCTTTCAGAATCAGAATTAGGTGCACAATGTTAAAACTTAAATTTCAAGATTTAGGCAACTGAATTTTGAATGTCAAATATAATGTCTGTCTGAAGGCCATGACTTACACATCTCATATCTATCTAGCTTTGCTCTAAAATAGGAATGGAGATTATCAGTCAGCATTGTTCACGGCTTTTAGAGTCCTCTCTGGAAGACACCAGAAATATGTTTCTAGTATTTCACAGACAGAGCTATGTGATGTTTCATTTTAAAGTTGGCTTACTGGCTTCAATGTGCATTTATTAACAGTATGCTAATGAACATTAGGACATAATGCAAATGTACTATACCTGAGTAGCTGTAATCCTAGTACATGGATCAAATGTGAATAAACCTTGAAGAAGACTGAGCAAGTCATCACCAGCTGCACTGAAGATATGTTGAAGTGGCAGTCCAGGGAAAGGCTTAAATGTGACATAATCAGGTAGACTCGTCATCCCCTGCAAAGACAAGAATGGTATGTATGTTTTTCAAGTTGGAAAGCATTCAGCTTTTCACTGAAATAGAACTTCATATGGCTGTCTTTCAACAGAAGCAAATTATCTTTCAAAAGACCTGCCTAATACTTGGTCACTGAAATAAAATAATTGAAGGCATAGTAGGTCTTAAATACTACCTTTTTTTAAAGTAACTGTTACAGTTGTTTCACACTTTCCATGTAATCTGTCCTTCCCTTGTGCTTTAGTGGTGACCAGTGCAAAAGGAAAAACTGATAACAAAGAAAGGAAGTGTGAAAGAACTTTAGAATGGGTCCAGAAAAATGAAGCAATTTTTTTTATTTTGTGAACTTACATGGCAGAAAAGACAAGCTTCACAAAAAAGCCAGTCTATATTTTCTCCAAGTTAATAATACACTGTCCTCATCCTCAAACTTAGCTTGTTATAAGCATTTTGAGCTACTTTTGAAATGCACAACTGAAACTTTTTATTAGGAGAGTGAGGTGACGGAAGGATAGTGTGCCAAGTAGATAAACGACAGATGAATTGTGTAGTTCCTGTAGGTATGAAATCAATCCCATCCAGATTATATAACAAAACCCATCTTTTTACAGATCTTTATCCCAAACATAGTATTTTAATAGTATTTTAAATCTCTAGTCATCATACTTCAGTAAGTTTATCCACAAAAGAAAAATTAACATTGAATTGAAAAAAATATAGAATCATAGACTGTTTGGGTTGGAAGGGACCTTTAAAGGTCATCTAGCCCATGCTTCAATCTGCTCAATCAGTTTAATCTTGACAATAAAGGTTTCGGTTCTTGAAATGCATGGACTTGAAAATTAATTTGGAAATTCACCATCTCTGTCGTGCTAGTACATCTTCTATTCTCTCTTTTCCCCACCTATCTTAACTCTTCCTCTCCAAAGAAAGCAGAAATGTCACTGCAAAAATCTCCATGCATGTCATTTAGAATCCCAGAACAACAGAATTGTGCAGGGCTAGTACTGCCTTATATATTTCTCCATAGGCTACAGCTCCATTTGGCAATCATGCAACATTTAAGGTAGCATCTGAGCACCATTCACACAAAGGCAATGCAGCACAGAGAGGGAGCAGAGGTGGGATGCGGCCACTGGTTAACAAGTCCAGAGAGTGCTTCCACAACTTAACTACAGCAGAGGACGGTGTATCAGGGAATTCAGGACGCCTGTGCCTGTTGGCTGGTCCAAATGGCTCACCAGAAGCCACCATACCCCGCTTCCTGTCAGCCTGCCTGATAACCAAGGTTATATGGGTCACTGTGCACCCTCAGATTAAGTCCAGTATTAGTGAATTAGTGGATTTACTGTCATCTCAACCAAGATGATGATACTACTGATTTGTATTTGTTACTACATACTCTCAGATAAAATTGTTCCTCCCTAAAGCTGTTGGTCTGGTGTCTGTTATCATATCATGAACCTGTAACTTGGCTAGGTCACCTCTGGTGTCAGAAGTGGGATATTGAACACAGGATCACTACCTGCCCCAACACTGTAGTGGGTGCCCTCTTTGGTTGTTTTGCCTCACCAAAACCCACTAGATTCCTTGGCAGAGAAAAGTACGTGTTCCCTTTTCCTAGCTACTCTAAGTAGAGAATTTCAGAAAGACAAAAACATGAAAGGGAAGTTACTCTGTCTATTCCTCTTTTCTCACTGTCTCAGTAATACTAAGTATGATTTGAATGCAGCCAAAGCCCGATCTGTCTCCCTATGAAAAGAATTAGCTCAAGCCCAGCACAATACTCAGTCTGTATTGGAAGACAAGACTCTTGCTGCTGCCCGTGTTAAAAGCATGCAGGCTTGCACAGAGAAATTAGAGTGCCTCGTGGTACCCTGGGTGGCAGCACCTGCCCAAGATAAACTTGACCAGCAGCTGGAAGCTACAGAAAAGGGAGTCTCTGCAACAAAAATATATAAAGCTTTATATATTGACCAAGATGACTGGGAAGGAAATATTTGGTTTGATTTGGATTCAAATGATGATACATCAAATTCTTGAAGCCCAACCAGACTTAGAAATCCCATCAATTATTTAAACCGAGTATGATGCTAGTGGAGGCATTGCAAGTATCTCTACACACCCTTTCACAAACATCCACCTAGCCAAATTAAGCAAGAGGTATTGCAAATCTTGTACTGTGGATTACTTGGCCTGGCTTGCAAGTTTGAGGGGAGGAACCACCCATATTTCAGATTCAGAAGTCTAGACCCTCACTTGAGGTTCTAGAATCAGACTACATATTCCAGCAAAAAATACAGACTCTTGTCGTTTGGGCATCAACAGCTTATGTTCACAGAAAAGTACCCTGAGATGACTGAGGACTTTGGCTATTCCCTGGCCAATCCCACAGATTTAGAATTAAGCATAGTTAGGCTAGTTATTAATCAAGCTCAGTATGTAGGCCCTGTGGCAGATGAAGACCTCTCATCATCCCAAAACCAGAGTGGTACCTACTAGTCAAGAAAGGGTCCTGTCATAGGACATTTAATGTCAATAGACACTGGCCTTGCAGGTGCAAGCACCCAGACAGATATGGTTCCTGCTATTACAAAAGGTAGTTTCTGCTGTGCCCATTCTGTAATCTTCCTGTCTTGCTAAAGATGCGGCTAAACCTACCACCAAACCTTGTTGTGTCCTGTTAAAAAAACCCCTGCGCCTCTGTGAAATGGCCCTGACCCAAAGCACTTTGAAACACAGAAAGCCTGTTTGGTCCTGGGCATTCCCAAACATGCAATACACAGAGACTCAGCACCAGCATTACTGGCTCTTGCCAACACCCTGCACTGTGCCACACATTCTCACAACAGAGGTAAAGGCCCATCAGTTATTCCATCAGCTGGAAACCTCAGCCTTGCATCACCCAAGCTTATTAGAGGTCCAATTAGCACCACAGGACACTGGTCAGAAGCCACCAGTGTCTCTGAGGTGCTATGGAGGGTGCAGCTTATATGGACTTCCAATCTAGTGTTAGATGTCACCAGCACTTCAACAGTAGCAGATGAAACTGAGGAAACTTTAGCATAAACCTGGAACTTGGAATGTGGAATCACAGTTGTACCTCACTTGGTTGCACAAGCATTGGAGTTATCCCACTATTAAAGCTTTGGCGCAGGTTGCAGCACACAGTGGAATACATCTTCAAATGTAGTGAACTGAACATATCCAAATTCTATTCACAAGCAGGAAAACCAGGCTTATGGAACCTTGTTACTTTAACACTGGTGGGAGGAAAACCCCACAGCTCCTCAGTATGGAATCCTTCTTTGAGACTGTATTATACCTCCATAACTCAAACGCAGAACATCACAGTTAACTGTGGGATTGTAAACAATTCAAATGGGAGATACCTCTATACTAGTTAAGGGACCAACAATCAGCATCTTGCATGCCTGCATTAACCCTTTTGTAGCACGACACATATTTTCTCACTTTTTTGATACTGTAATGCCTTTGAGCTAATACTCCAGTAGCTCTCAAGTGTAATATTATTCCCACATCTCCAAGTCTCTCTCTGATTTCCCTTCCCAAACCATATCATCCATACCCTTATCAATATGAATTTATCTCTAATTAAATTATTTTTGCAACATGAAGACTTGTATTGACTATTCAAACAGGCAAAGAAGCAGGCACAATACATTTTCATAATCATGGTACCATTGATCATACAAATCCTGTGGAGTGTATTAAAAACAATAAAATAAAACATAGTTGGCAGGAATCCCTTTTTAGGTGGGCCTCCCATGATTAGGGGGATATGGAACATCCTACTTCTTTACTCAGTTGTTATCCTTATTTTGAGCAGCTTCTTACTCATTTTAGTTGTCACATTAAAGGTTTATACTTGGCTTTTGACCTGCACTGTTCTGATGGTTTCTTGGCACACCATCCTATTGATTATCTTGTAACAATTTAACCCTCTATCACTCTATGGCCACACTCTTCTCCACACCTGACACTCCCAGTGAGGCAAGTAGCATGAACACCAGCCCGGGTCTTAAGCTGACATGGCAAGACAATCACTCTTCTTCCTCCTCCTACCCCTCCAGTCACATAAACAAGGGGTGAAAATATGGGACTCTAGTGCCTTATACAGTGCTCTTCCATATGGTGACCACATATCTTGGATAGCTCCATGTGGTGACTGCAGGCTACGTAAAGGTGCCATTCAAGTGCTGTTCACACAAAGGCAACGCAGCACAGAGGGAGAGCAGAGGTGGGCTGCAATAACCGGTTAGCAAGCCCAGAGAGTGCTTCCACAACTACAAAACTACAAAAAGAGGATTGTTTGAACATGGAATTCAGGACTTTGTGCCCATTAGCTGGTCCAAGTAGCTCATCAGAAGTTATGCCCTACTTACTGTCATGACCATGACTAAGTAGGTTGCTGTGTGTGTGAGAAACTGGGGTACACACAGAAAGGACACCAAGAAGTTTTATTACCATTGCTTAATGCTAACAACACTGCTATACTGATCAGAGATTTGCCAAGAGAAGCAATAAACCTCAGCCACTTATCCCCCGCTTTTCTGAAGGCAGCTGCCTGATCTCACAAGTTTATTGAAGTATTCTGGTATACCCTTTAATTTAATTTCAAAAGCTAAAATAGAGAGTATAAGCAAAACTAATGTCAGTTTGTTAAACAAAAGGACTCACAGGCCACTGTTCTTCTGTTGGAGTGCCCAGTGTTTCAAATATCCTTGTCAGCTGGTCAAGATCAGAGTCTCCAGGTAAAAAAGGAACCTGGAAGAAGGCAAAAGCATTTGATTGAATTAACTTCTGAACTTCAATTCTAGAGAGGAACTTTGAGCTTTCCTTTAATAATTGCAGGGCAAAACATCTTTGTATACCAGCTGGCCATAAAGAGGTACACTGAATATTCAGGCTTTCTAGTGGTGTTCAAATAGATTCTGAACATTTCTTGCAACCCAGGCTTGATGTTACTGACTTGATAGCAGACAGCTAAAACACAAGATTAAACCACCACCACATTAACATAAAATAACTAAGCACAGGAGAGGAAAGATTTTATATCTCAGTTGCCAATTTAAAGTCAGTTGGTCACAGTGATCTTTCAATCATCTGCTCACTGAAGTTAGGTTTTATATATATTCAAAAGATTTAAAGTGAATCATAACTGGATTACACAAGCAGCAGTTAGACTGATAGAATGAGATCACAGCATGAGGGACAGTAGTGACCCACTGGGATAGAAACTGCCAAATCAGTGTTATATTTAAGTTAAATTAAGCAGAAGACAGAAAAGTGGATATTTGCCCAGTTCAACTTGTAGCTTGCACATAAGGCACACAATGCAAGAAAAAAAGGGATGTTGTGACCAAAGCAAAATTATGAAGAATTAGAGGCAGTTTTGAAACAAGTAGGACAGAAAGACCATGCTGAACATAAACAGTGTACTAAACTTCGGTTATGAAACATCATGAAAGCCCCTTGAACATAAACTGCTTTTGTAAAGCTCCAGAAGCTGCATTGTCCTTCAACCCAGTACACTAGGGAAGAAAAAGGACAGATACATTTAGAACCATTACAATGATAAAACCGAACCATAACACGTTTTCTACTTTGTGAGAAACCAAAGAATCAACAGAAGTTAACAATTTCTTATTTGCTTTCTGAATTTCCTTGAGTTTATCCAACTTTAACAGGACTAATGCATATTTATTACACCTCACGAGTGCTGCTTAAACAGACACTGTACATTTCCATTTCTGAACTGCCAACCAAATTGTACTAGAACAAGTACAGTACAGTACTAGTACTGTTTGTGCGGTATACCAAGGCAAAATACTTCTTTCAAGGTGTTTTCAGACAGACCAAGTTTCTCAATCTGATTCATGACATGGCCACACAAACGTTTAAAGTACAGAGCAAAAACCAAGCAGAAGCCACTTATTCATAGAAGTTAAATAATACTGCAGGCTACTTCATGCTTTGAGTTCTGCCTCTGCCCCTACCCTCCACTCCCCACCTCACAATTTCATGTCCTCTCAAAATAGCTACATAATAAATGGTCTACTTTAGTGAAATATACTTAAGGACCATTACATCTGTGTACCATACTCAGGAGTGGCATAGGACTCGCCTGATTTTAACGTTCGGCTTAATTCCAGTACTGTCAAATAACCACAGCTCAGAAAAACATCAACATTCTGCGCATAACAAATAAACCCACAAATAAGGTACCAGTGATAATTATTTAGTTATTGAGGAACAATGTATAAGGGACAGAGTAGGCATGTATTTATTATGTCACATTTTTAGAAGGATAGCAAAGTAAAACTGACAGAAGGCTGTGTGAAAAGGTAACACTCAGAGGACTGGAAGACTGACCTACTTCACCTGCCCAAAGGCAAGATTGTGACAAGTTGTCGCAATTTTTTTTTTATTTAGCTGTTTTTAAAAGACTTCCCACAATTGTGATGCTTATGGAAACTCTGTCGATTCCAAAACTTCAGTTTTCTTACAGTTCGCAAGCTTTTGGAAGCTTATTCCCCACTCCTCTTCTTCCTTTCCTAAACAGCCTAGCTGCCTGCTGCTGTTAGCAGGAGAGAGAAAGCCCACATATAAGCTGTAATGCATTGAGAAGCAAATACAAAATGCTTAAGTTTGAAGACTTACCCTGAGGAGCAGCTCAGCTAAAATACAACCAACAGCCCACATATCTACACCAACGCCATACATCCTAGCACCAAACAATAGTTCTGGGGCTCGGTACCACCTGAAAACAAAACACATTTTGAAAAAAATCACCTGGTTTTGCTCATGTCAAATGCTATGTATCATGTCAATGCAGGAACTACAAAAAGGATACTGCTCCTGCTTAGATGTTTGTCAGACACTGAAGAGCTGTACTTTACCCTGCAAAGTGTTTTGATTAAGAAAGACTGAAAAAAGTTGTGTGCTCTTCACCACACGGTCACATATAACCACAAATTAACTACAGTTTCAACTGAGCTAATTAACAAAAAATAGAACTACAGATATGCAAAGGAAAAGGTATTTAACAGGCAGATTTGCATGTTACAAACAAAAAAAATTGTCTTTCTGTAATTTCTTCAACATAAAGTTTAATTCCTTCCAGCTTCCAAAAATCTCCATACCAACAGACCTAAGTATTGATACTAGTTTTATGCAAAATGAACCTTAACAGCAGTTGTTTAAAACAGCTACTTCCACTGTCTAAGAACAGATCATTACACTAAACTTGATTGATACATGCTGCATTTGAAACTACTGCATCACTTCTGTCTTTTGTATAAAGGTGTTAAAACAAACCAGCTTTGCCTAAATAGTTATAGCATTAGACAGACAAAAGGACATACCTTGCATATTTTGCAGTCCTGCCTTTTAAATAAGCAAGCTAGAAATAACATTAATAGATTAAATTTTATTTAACAGGTAATGTGACTAGGTGCAAAAAAAGATTCTAGGTCTCATGATTAACAGAACAGCTGTGTTGCTCTGAAAGCCAGGCTTACAGGCAGATTCATATTATTTCCATGTGTTTCAGAAGAGTATCATACCCCAGAACAGCCTCCATGGATGCATATTCTCACAGTTCTAATGAAGCGTTTGCTAAACAATGCTTTCCTGCATTTTCTTTATGATCCTCCTGTCATTACAGCCATATTACATGAGTTAGGTATCAGACTTTGAACACGCTGATTTAACATGACATATTTCACATGATACTGCAAAACAACTACACAATCATTGTGTAAGAAATAAAACAGTGTCTTACCTTGTTACTACCTGATGGGTATAAACTCTATTTGGGCTTCCAAAAGATTTTGCCAAGCCAAAATCAGCCAGTTTTAAAACCCCATTTTCATCTACCAACAAATTATTTGGTTTAAGATCCTGTCAGTACAGAAAGCAGAGAATGAATTTCGTCAGTCTTGATAAAAACAGACTTATATTAAAACTCCTTGCAGGTGTGCCATAACAGTACTCTAAAGTGCAGGCTTTTGATTGTAGTCTACATTTGAGGAAAAACACATTAAACTTGAAACAAATAAATACCTAAATGATAACCACATCACTAATTCTTAACATTTTTGGTACTGCTTTTGTCTCTCCAAAAGTGTGAATGCTTATGGACTAAGCTGGAACTTCAAAACCGTCTTAATTAGACTCAAATTCTATCAAATGTGACTTCTATTACAGCATAAAGGCTGTATTTAATTACTTAATTTAGTACATCTTTATTATCTAATTTAGTACATCCTTACCCTGTGTAGAATCCAGTGCTGATGTAAATATTCTAATCCTTGAAGCGTCATCAGCATATATGCCTTGATGTGAGATTGAGTCAATACAATACCAGTATCCTTTATAATAACCTGTAAAGTTATAAAAAAATAAATCATTAGATGGATAGTAAAGCTTACCACACAAGATTAACTTACTTCTATTTTTTCAGCTCAAAAGTTATTTTAACCTTAAAGGCAAAGTTCAAAATGGGAGTCACATATTCTCTACCATTCTCACCTTTTTTCCAGAAAAATAAGTCTATTGTGGAGATCAGAAATTGAAATGGGGAGTCCAGATAGCCTACATGAAGTTTGCATAACCAGCAAATGAGAAAGGGGTGGGAAACATGAATTTATTATTTTATTTTAGTTCCAGGTCAACATCCAAACTTAAAAGACAAAGTCATAAGCATACAAACAATAAATGTGTCACTGAACTTGAAATATGTTCCCACTTATTCCTTCTTTCTCCATGCAACCTAAGCAGCTAATCTTTGTAAATGCAATGGTTTCCTCTTCTATTTCCAAGAAGACTGGCAGGTATGGTGACTTTAGTGTATTTTAACAAGTCTACTTACATTTTCTGCATGCTTTGATTTTTAACATTAAAATTCTATGTAAACATTCTGCTTGAAAGTATTTTCTAGACTATTATCCAAAACTTGCTTGTTAATATTACTATCCAGTTCAGTAAGAGCTTTTCCTAAGCTTTAAGTTGTTTGAAACTTACAAAATAGCTGTCTAGACTACACAAAACTTCATGTATTTAGCACATGCCCAGTCACAACAGGCTGCAGTCCTAAACGGTGGCCTGAGTGATACCACAATGAAAATTAAATGCTCTGCATACCGCAGCATTATGTAGTACAAGAGTATTTAATTTCTTTTTGTACACTGTATCTTCTTCAGCTCTAAATTCAATTCTAGGTAAACAGGATGAATCCTCTAGATAGTCTAATCATTAACTTCTATTAGCAAAAAACTGGTCTAGCCTTTTCAGTCCTGCATTCATCTAGGTTTCAGAAAGCCTGTCAATGTTTTCTTCTAATATTTTAAATGCTAGACAGTTCTTAACAGCAAATGTGTAATAACCTTTCTTAACAACTATATTAATTTCAATCCCAAGTAATGTGGGCATATACAGATCTGACATGAATCACTGTCTAGGACAGTCTTCCAAAATGAAGAATCTTGCATCAAAATAGAAAGTACAAAGACTTCCACAAAGACAAACTGACTTAAGGTCTTGGAGAATGAAACATCTACAAGATGTTGATTTGCCAGTACCTAGCATTGCTACATTTAAAAGAATGGGTCAGGTGCATGTGATTTTAGTACCAGCTCATCACTTGGCATACATTAGCATCACACTTACTTGACCATGTTTGATGATACTATGGTTAGAAATTGCACTGAGATGCTGATCTATGACTGAGGTTTATGATCTAACTTGAGTTCCAGAAAACTGACATGGTAAACATTATCTGTTTCTTTAAGATCATGCTGACAAGTATTTAAAAGTAAAGCCATTACTAGCTAAGAACTCTCAAAAACTGTCAGATTATCCAAACTACTCTCAAGACATGATCTTAATCAACTAACATAATGAAAATCACCTTTCTAACAGGGGCAAACATAAGCCCCTTAAAAGCAGTATTTTAAAAAGCCATCTGAAGATACTGAAATAAAAGTCTTCTAAAAAAATCTTACCTCGAGATCTGTTTCCATAAAGTCAAACACCAAACTAATATTGGACTTGTGTCCAAATGCATCTAGAAGCTGTAAAACAAAATACATTATGACAAGGTATACTCTTTATACTTCTGGTTTTCTAAAATTCTGCACCATCATAGTCTGCATGTCAATTTTCAGCTTGCTGAACTGGTTTAAGTTTTCTAATCTGCAATACAAAAATTCTTATTCAAGCTTAGCTTCTTAACTCAGTCTCCAAAAAATCTTCCTTACTGTCTTAGTATGATGACAATGTGAACTATCCAATCGCAAGATAGTTGTTTGCATAGTTTGTAACAGCAGTGACTGTGCTCATGCTCTTCCTCTGCAGAAACCAAGGTAACAGGAGATACTATGCAGGTGAGTCTACAGGCTTGGCCACCTTTTGCAATTCATGTCCCTTGAACTTCCAACATCCACAACGGTTTTATCAGGATTGCTAAGAGGTGTACAGCTTGCTTATGGACCTTCTAATAATGAATCTGACTAATTCATTTTTGAACAGCTGATGTTATCTGCTTCTACAATGCCGTGGCAACAAATTCGAGAAATTTGCTACATGTTGCGTAAAGTAGTACAATTTTCATACACCTCCCTTCCCTCAACACAAGTATGTTTTAAACATCTCTTATTTCTATTACTGTGGATTTCTGCAAATATCAGTTCTGCATGCACTTCACCTGCTACCTCAGTTTAGCAGATGTCCCAACTCCTAGCCTTTTCCTCTCCAGAATGAGACACTGACTTTTTCAAAAAGATGCTCCATCTCTTTGCCATTTTAGCTGTGCTTGCTAAAGCAACCACTTCAAAAGTAAGTTCACAATCCAGAAGAAAAACATATTTCATATTTGGTCTAATATTTATGGCAGACTTTCAAATTATCATTATTAGCTAATTTTAAATTATCTTTCACCCCAGTTGGGTATCTATAGCTGGAAGTCAACCTAAATGCAACTGAAAATATGCAGGTTTTTTACCTACTAACAGGTTTTAGGTATCAGCACTAAAACCTAATAAGCATCATGATTCCCATTTTACCATTGCTTACAAAAGCCGGCTTTTGGCTGCCACCAGTTTCATGTGAAGCAAACAGGTAAATTCAGCACTGCTCTCATTTGCAAGTGTCTCAGAGAGATGCAAAATCAGGTAAACTAAATTGCCACAACTCTCCCACCATTAATATCCATGGCTAAAAAGTAAAAGGATTTAAAAGAACTACTTTATCTTTGTTACTGAAATAGATGTTTTGCTGTAACAACTGTTTTACTATTAATTTTGGCCTGGAAAAGAGACAGCTGTAATAAAATCAAGTAGCTTCTCCATGACCCAACTAATTCTAAATTTCAGTCTGAACCTGCAGCATAAGTATTTAAGGACTAATTCTAGAAGAGGCATGCATTTTACTTACACCAATAATATTTGGATGGCTTAGCTCCTGTAACAATTTTATTTCCCTGAGTGCTGTTCTGTTGATTCCTAAAAAAAAAAAATATATAAGAGACAGAACAAAATTTAAAACTTTGGATTAAGCTCCAAACAAACCTCTCATTCTGTTATTCACTGACAATTTACTACTACATAGTACTTATGTAGCAAATTGTTGAGTTGTGACAAACAAGTATATTGGCTCAGATAAGTAGATTATACATATACTTTCTTCCACAGCAAATAAATTGTACACCACAGTAATTAGATCTAGGTTATGAAACAACATGTGCCCTTTTGGGCAAAAGGAGAAGTTCAGCAAAAGCCTAGGGGAAAAAAAAATCACCAACTAATCATCTTTTTCAGGGTATTATAGGTTTTGTTTTTATTTTAACAAAAAGTTACATCTTGCAAGTATCACTTCTACAATGTGTCTCACTTCCAGAGGGATGCACACTGACAAATCTCATTAATATAGCCCAAAAGAAAACTTTTGACATAGCATCATTCCATAAGGCAAGGCACATACATTTTTCTGTATTTGTGCTGTGGCATAAAAGGTACAGTGGCCAAAATCTGATCACTCTTGCTTGAATTGTTTATAAAATCTGGCTCTTAAAAGAAAAACCATGGCAGGATGATACACTTGGGCAGTCACGCTGACTGCACTGCATCAAAGCACAATTCCTCCTTCGAAAATGCTGGTATGCATGGCTTCCATGAAAATGATCAGCAAGCAAATACTCCTGGGGCATATTGGGCACTACTATGGCACACTACTATGAGTAGGGCACACTATTATGTTGAGGTGCTATTGCATGACACAGGCTGTAAAAGAAGACCAGGATTATTGGGTTTTTACTTGCAATATCCATGCCTAAAGGCACCTGGCTGGTCAGTGCACATGATCAAAAGACACCTCTCTGGGACTCATTTCTCAGCATAAAACAAAACCACATAAGGACAAGAGTTTTAAGATCTTGGTTTTATTAACTTTTGTCTCAGCATAGATCACAAAAATAGAACAAAGGAAGTATCTGAAAACAGAGATAAATACCCCCACCTGTCTTAAATATTTAAGGCATAGAGATGCATCAATACAAAAAGGTATTCCAAACTCAGTGCCATAAAGATTATCTTATATTCATGTTTATATTCTACTTAAGCTGAGAAGCTAGCTAGTTACATACTCATATTTAGACATACACTATGCATGCAGGTATCTCTGCAGCTTTTTTCTGTCCCTGCGGTTTGGGAAGCAATTCTTCGCTAAGCCTGATGCTAAAAGAGTTGAGCTCATTTTTCTCAGCCAAGTTACAGCATGGGAAATTAATGTACCAATTTACAACAACAAGGCACAGCTTCTACACCATGAATTATAAAACTCACCATCTTTAGCTTCTGATCTGTGTCCCAGTTTAATCTGAAAAGAAATGTTTCATATTACATGAGGTTAAGCCATCTGCCCCAAGAGTAGGGGATGCATTCTTTAGTATTACTCTTCTATGACAGAATGAGTTTCAGTATCAGAAAGCACTTTACCAGCTAGGGTTGGAGTTGGTTGGGGTTTTTGTTATAGTTTCTTTGAGTTTGTTTCTGGTGGTGGTTTTTTTGTTTGGTTGGGTTTTTTGGTGTTTTTTTTCTTTTCCTTTTAGAAAAATAATTGTCTCTACAGCATTAGCTTTTACAAAAGCTTAAAAATAGTAATGAAAGCACTGAAAACAGACATAATGCAGGGTGGCAGCATAAACTGCTTTGTGGCCACAAAGCTTTATTATGCCACTAACGAGCTTCTCCCCAGGGAGAAATAAGGGCAAAGTAATTGACAGACATCTTAGAATGATTCTAGTAAAATCAGCATACTCTCTAAACTTGGGCTGCCTCAAAGTTCTTCCATCTCAGTCACCTGAAATTTTTAAGTCCAGAATTTCACCACTGATATTTCCAAATGAAAGTTAAGAAAATAGTCTGATATAAACAGGAATGCATTCACAGTAGCTGCTACTAGGAGCAATCACACAGTAAAAGTATTCTGATGCTAAAAGGGATTAGTGTATCAAACAAAACTTACTTACTATTGATACGGTTCAACTAGTAAAGCCTGCCCTATAACTAACCAAAGCATGGCAATCTGAATTTTTCATCCCTCACTGCTAATTTTAATACAAAAGCTTTGTATTAAAAGCTCTGCAATCTCTTAATATAGTAAGGGGCAAAACACTGTGACAACAAAGACATTTTCAACATCTGTATTCAAAAAGCCAAGTTAGAGATCCAAGATCGCTTTTGTCAAGTTTTGTCAAAAAACTACCATAAATTCTAAAGAACTTGTCCTGGTTTGAACCAAATAGAACTAATTTTCTATTTAGTGATTCTACTTTTCAGCTCATTCTCTTCTAAGTGGCTGTACTAATGCTGAAACTAACAGCATGTTTTCCAGACAGTGTGCACTTCTACAAGTGATAATGACAAGGCCCTTGTCTCATCATGGGTGCCATATCTGCACCTGCAGGGAGGAGTGGATCCAAAACTGACCCAAGAGGTATTGCATTCCACATATGTCACATTCAGTATAAAGCTGAGGAATCACGAGGGTCTCAACCCTTCCATCTTGGAACTTTCCTTCTCAATCCTGCCCTCCGCTCTTCTGATCTCGCAATGGCCGAAGTCCAAGCAGAACCCTGCTAGTTTGTCTGCCTCTGATCCTGATTTGTGTGTTCCTGAAACCCACTCCCACCTGCAGCTGGGTCCAGTTTGGGACTTTCCCAGTGCCCTGCCCTGCAGAGCCTCTGGTGACACATACATCACTGGGGAATGATGGTGAGAGGATTTTATATTGGTTTTATATATATATTTGCACATATCTGTATATATTTCATTATCTTCCTATTTACATTATTATCCTGTGGCATTGGTATTATTGTTTTATTAAATCTGTTAGTTTATTTTCCAACCCATAAAGTCTCTCTCCCTTATTCTCTTACTCTTTTCCCTTCTGCGAAGGGGAGAGGGGTTAACAGAGAGCATCTGTCCAAGATTTAGTGGCCAGCCCAGCCCTAAATCACAACAGAACTTAATCAGGAGTAACATATCAGACACAGCAGGAGGAAAGATTCCCCCCCAAAAAAAAGCAGCAACTATCAAGGACTAATAAAGTCTGAAGTTCGGAAATGTGGGTTTTTTTTAAAAAAACAAATCTCTTTAACAAATGAACGAAATTTCAAGTTACAAACCCTTCAGAAACTCATAAATGTAGTAAGACTGAAGTTAGTGTCTCTTCTTAGGGTGTGGTGGTGTTATTAAGGACAGGTGGTTAACTAGATAATTTAAACAAAGCATTATAGAAACAAAAAAATATGTTATCCTACTACCTATGACATCAGTCAAAAAAAAATCATTAGGGAGGTCAGGAGCAATCATACACTTAATCCCACAATGCGAAAATACCCTGACACTCACCTTTTTAATAGCCACGATTCGGTTGGTGTTCTTATCCCTTGCTTTATAGACCGTAGCAAACTAAGGAGACAGAGAAGCCAGAGTGAGCGAGAGGCAGGCAGGGGGCAAGGCGCCTGCCAGCCCAGCCTTCCCAGGGG